TTACATGTAGGTAGTTTTTATTGATGTAATTCCAAGCTGTAGCGAAATATGTGGATTGAGTTCTTCTTTGCTGTAACACCTTTGAAACTCTTTCAATGACGTTTTGTAGATAAATGAACTGATAATGAAACTTAGAGCCTGTTTACATGGAGGCAGCCGGGGGACCCCAGATAGGTGAGGTAACCCGCTTAGGTGGGGTGACCCGCCTGTCCTTATTTATAATCTCTCATATAGTCACCCCACCTATCAAGTAAAGAAACGTTTTAGCTCTACAAAAAATAGCAAGTAACATTTAACTGTAACTGCTGTTCTTGCTATGTTTTTAGCCAATAGTTCATCTATTTCTTCCTCGTGAAACGAGTGAAATGTTCCGCCATTTTGTATTCACTACCAAAACATCTCAACCTTGTCCCCAGGTCTTTTCGGCTAACTGTTCTTTGCTGCACACTTGACGTCATTTTTCATATATCGCAAAATTCTTCCAATTTGGTCTACAATAGCTGGTTATGATGAATTATACGTGGGATTTTAGGCAATCAGAAAAGAAGAAATATTTTGAATGAATACTACCAATATACCAATATATTTTTAACTAACCAAGATGGGTTCGGGGCAAAAGGCTTTAAAAAGACGTTCAATAATCCAGCCGACTGGAAGCAGCACATACAAGATGCTAAACGGTGGCGGAAGAACGCTTTTCTTATAAATCCAGTTTAACCACATCTTTGTCCTCGTAAACTTCCATTCAGTGTCCAAGTTTTCCTGACGATCATTTAAAAAAAAAATTCTTTAGTCAGAGTAATCTTTGTTCAAGTGTAGCCAGGTCAAGTATTGCACGTAGGGAGGAGGATCATAAGTTGAACAACCCATCGCGGTCACGCATTTTGAAGTGATTCGCTGATCAGTATTATTGGATGGCGGGCTTATAAGTTTTATCTTGTGTGTTAGAGGTATTAACTCGATTGCATCATCAGTGTTTAACCCATGTGGTACTAGCGCGAATCAGGTGGTGAATAACGCACGCGCAAGTAAAGAAAAGTCAAAAACAGTCAGTTGTTACTAGACATACAGTAACCCAAGGAATCAATTTTCAGAGGTTCAAATTTGAGGACGATAATGAAAACTTTACATTGACTTTTTGCAGGCTTAGATATATTTCACCTCTCTACATGAAGTAACCTGTGGTTATGGGCCCCCCTCCCCTCAAAAATTATTTTTTTAGAGAGTGGGGTATTGTACACAGGCTATACAGTGCAACTTCCGTATAATGAATGGCCAAGGGACTGGAAAAATATGTTGATATAAAGAGGTTTTGTTGTATGCAGGTTCTTTTCCATATACTTTACTATTACTAAGGCGTCGAATATCCTTCGTTATACAGAAGTTCATTATATCGAGGTTCAACTGCACGTGAAGTAGCTGTCCTAAACAGAATGGATTGTTTTCTTATTGTCATTGTTGCAAGAACTAGCCCATACACTGCCGTTCTTTGGGTCCTTCCGAAAAAACGGCTGCTGAGAACGAGGAGCATTGCGTGATGACCCAAAGAACGTCTGTTTAGCAGGCTACGCGAGAACGGCTTTTTGCTTACCGAAATCCGCGTATAGGATTCATTGAGTATTGCAATCAGCATGTTAACAGCGACAAGAACGGCTACAATATTGAACACCCCAAACAGCGTCAAGCCCGTCCACCAGATGGTCTCGTAACCTGCCTCTGCAATCAAAAATCCTTCACGTTCAACTTGACCAAAAAGCGACCAGAGGATCACATTTGCACTGCTGTGTAACCTGAAATAATAACAAACGATTATGATTAACTTTTCCCATGCCATAAATTACACAGCTAATCAGAAAGCTATAAAACGCTTCATATTATGCGGCATTGTTTATAAAACAAATCGGGCGCCTTTAAAATTGTTTCCTGGCTAAAAAATGGGGCAGTTTGCTTAATCGACGAGAAAATTAAAATGAAAGAAAGTCTTGCTCATAAAAAAGTGATCAATAGTCCTTAAAAATGGTATATAGCTCTTTTCCTCTCTCATTGTCAAAAAAGGGGATTGTAGAGAGCGTACAAAACAACATTACAAATGGAAAACCATAGCGAGATGTAAGTATTATACTTTAGCACCATTTCCCTGTCTTCTGATTTAAACCTGTCGTATTTACTCATTCACAAATTGTGACTCATTTTGAATTTATTTCCGAAAATGAAGAAAAAAAACTCACTCATTAAAATACCGGTTACCTATTTTTTGCGAATAATTTTTGACTCAGAGAGATTTGACATAAAACTGGGCAATGTCATTTTATGATGTGCAACAGGAAATTCCAGTAAGATAAAGCCACATGGAAAATGCTTTGCACGTATTTACATATTCGTTGTTCATATTAATATATAGATTTAGCCAGGGCTAAAAGCGAAGCTCTCGATAACATTTAGAGTTTGTACAAACAAAAAGTAAATCGTGTAATGCTAAGCGGCGAAGGCAACGCCGGAGAACGGTGAAAAAACAACAATAAGTCAACTTTCACGTGCAGCACACTCTTTTTGTACATTTCTTTGGAGTTGTTTTGCACTGACTACAACGTGAAATTTACAGAAACTTTCTAGTTACACGTTTTATGAAGGAAAAGTAGTACGTGTTCTCGTTCACTTTCTTTCGCTGCCGTTCGTTTTCACCTTGCATCGGTGACCGCTAGCATTTCTCATTTTCTCACCGCCGCTACAATGAAAATTTTCATGTTCTTCCAAAGAAAAAAAAAAATTCTCCTTTAGTTTTATCTCCCGCTCTAGATCTACTACTTTCTCTTTTCATCTGTCTTTCTCTTGCTCTATATTCAAGATTTGTGGACCTGACAATTAATCTAAGCTTAATACTTTGGACAACACGGATACAGAAACAATTTCCGCTTTCTTTTTTCATATTTATTGACTCTTTAGTTGTCTCTGCTTTACAAGACGCAGGTGGCTATGCGATTTCCCGCCAAAATAACCTCGAGTTGCATTTGGGTTGCCATACCTGTTGATTGAGTTATTTTACATTCGTCTACCTGTGGTGCGGACGGACGGTCGGGCGGTTGGGCGTACGGTCACGTGATTACCAAAATTTCTCGGATGGGTAGATAACCAAATTTTCTCACCCATGGTGCTCCGCTGCGCGCTTTGCTCGCGAGAGAGCTCCGCTACAATGTCGATCGGTGATACGCCTCTGAACAACTCGTACCCGAAAACCGCACGTACATGTACACAGTTGCTATGAAGTATTCTAGATTATAATTGCTTAAGATAAATCTTTTATACTTACCTTTCCAGCTCTAGCGAAATCTTCTCCTCCGTCCCCGGTGCGAAGTACTCTTTGGCCGCATTATACTGCGATTAAAGCTTTGTGAAACTCACAGCAAATGCCAGAAAAACGAAACCAAAATACAAAAAGAACTTTGCTACATCGATAAGCATCTGTATAAATGCATTTAGCAATGGACCAATACTGGCGTTTTCCTGACTCAAAAATGACAAATTTAGGGCAAATGCCTGGAGAATTCCCAAAGACAAAAAGCTTTCGGCAGACAGCATGATCGTGTAAGATCGCAACACAGCATGGTCTTCTAGCGTCAGAGACTGGGATAAGCTTGGAAGAGTTACCCTTCCAATCAACCAAATTACGTCGCCAAGGACGAAAGACACCACCATTGTCGAAGCCAGATAGTTCCAGTGGTATGAAAAAAAGCGGGATCTTCCATTCTGAAGCACGTCTTTTATGAGGTCTACCAGTAGACCAATGACAAATATTCTGACATACAAATCTGTGAGAGGAATACAAGATGAATCATTTAGCTTGCCCTTCGATAAAGCAGTCTTAACTTAGTGTATTAACAGTGATAAATTTCTTTTCATCGATATCTCTTACCACTAAACGAGAAGCCTCCCAGAAAATGACTGGTACTTGATGTGACTGCAGGCAGATATAGAAATGTCTGATAGGACCCGGCGTAGATGAGAACCTCACAAAAGGAGAGCGAAACATGCTGGTCACTTTATGTTTGGGGAAAAGGCCTTCATAAACAAGCCAAACCACTAAAGCCAATGGGCACAGCAAGGCCGCCACGAGTAGTAACACTGACTTTTTCCAAACACCTTTCACCTCCAAGAAAGAGGCGTTTTTTATAAACTTCCGAATTTAGTACCAGCAGACTTCAAGGATGGGCGACAAACTAAAAGGAAATATTAACCGTTTGTATGTACCAAGAGATGCTTAACTAAACTTCTTAAAGCAAACTTAAGGAAATTGCATCAAAATCTCTTCAAAGCCTTCACCCAGACGGGCTTGAATGCGGATCGTAGCCGTTACAACGCAAATCTTATTTGTTTTAAAAAATTAAAAAAAGACTTAAAAAATTCCTTCTTTCTTAGTTAAATTGAATCTTTGTTGAGCTACACACCTTTTATTTTTCTTTTTTCTTTTCTTTCTTTCTTCTTCTTTTTTTTTCTTTAAAAAATTAATCGAAATTTTCATTCAGTACCCTTAACTTGTATGGTTTACCCTATAGTTCCAGGAAGCCTATAGTTTATTTGTTTTAAAAAATTAAAAAAAGACTTAAAAAATTCCTTCTTTCTTAGTTAAATTGAATCTTTGTTGAGCTACACACCTTTTATTTTTCTTTTTTCTTTTCTTTCTTTCTTCTTCTTTTTTTTCTTTAAAAAATTAATCGAAATTTTCATTCGGTACCCTTAACTTGTATGGTTTACCCTATAGTTCCAGGAAGCCTATAGTTTACAAGCCCCCGGCTTCTATATAGGCTTCCTTGCCTTTACCACATTTGATCTTTTAAATAATTTAGTTAGAATATTGTATATTATCTTTAATGTATTTCTGTATACTGTTGTTGTATTTCTTGTTAAAGGCAAAATAAAATGAATGAATGAAAGATGGCCTTATCATTAAAAATAATCTTGAATAGACCTTTTTCGTTTTGGCAAGAGCAGCAAACTCCAGAATGTTAAGAGAATCTGTCTCCAGCGAAGAAAACGTTTTTCCTTCGCTCTTCGCTTCCATAACGCATCTGATCTCTTCCTTTGTGCAGCATTCCCTTCAGGAGCGACACAGTAAACTCTTCATAGTCATTACAAAGCCTAAGATACTCCTTCCTAAATTCGTATTCTTGCTCGGATATGTCACGGAATTCCCTGCTCAGGGCACAAGCTCGAAGAACTGGGTCAGGACCACTCCGCACGTTTTGTAGAAAAGAAGCCGCGATAAACACAGGGCTGGCCAGTGCGCGGTATTCATTTAAACGGTGTACTGTACTATGGAGCTTCTCGCTTGAGACATCAGTAAATTCTGTCGACATTCGCATAGTCTTGGGATCCTCAATGGTGAATCCGTGTTCAAGAAAAAGCTTGACAATTTGAAAATTCTGCAAACGGGCCGCCAGGCTGAGTGGTGTTGTAAAAGAAGTATGACCTCTGACAGAGAGCATTTTAGGTGACGGTGTCTGAGGCTGTTGATCACAAAACTGAAGTAGTACCTCTACTACCCGCACGTCACCTTGATGTACTGTATTCAGCAAAGCGAGCTGTAGGCTAGCTCCGCCACTCAATAGTAAAGTTATTGCATCGTCTCGATCGGACGCATCATTCAAATCAGCTGCTATTTGTATAATTGTTTTACCAGAGCTGTCTAGAAGATCAAGGTCTTTATTTGCTCGAGATAAACTAAGTTCGCTCTTGATTTTCTCTAAATCACCGTTCTTTACAGCGTCGTAAAGGTTTGGTTGTGACTGGTCAATCGATGGACAGTCGCTATCCTTAAATTTGTTAGCTTGCAAAGCATCTGTTAATTCCATTGGATGCAAATCAACAACAAATGGTCACCTGCAATTTTAAAAAAAACGTTCCGTAAGCGCAGCTGAAAGAAAAAATCCTTTTAAGAGCCTGGTAGTATCTCTGTAGGCAGTGGATAGATCTGCTACCTGTACGAATTATTAGATAATTCCTCCTTTTATCCAGCTGCCTTGTGGGAACTTTGTGAAACAGAAAGTTAAGGAAACCCCAAGTAAATCTAGTCTGGAGAGGGATGGTTCCGCCAAAATAAACTTCACCAAAGACAGTGCAGGGTCAAACTGATTCTGTCGTCTTCCGTGTTAACAAGGACCGCTCCATTCGCAGAACGGAGTAGACCAGTGTGCACCTGACACACTGGCAAGATTAAGATCAGTAGGAGTGATGATGTTCCCATGATACCATACTCACAGCATAAATGGGCCTTTTAATTTAAGCCAGCGCTGGAAAACGCTATAAAGGATTGGCGAAATTATCAACTGATACAGGAAACAAAAAGTGATAAGAAGGAAAAACATGAACACAGTGTGGGCCTTTTTTTCCCTTAGAATCATTGTGTGCTCTTTTATGGAATGTCTGGTATTTTCCAGGAGACTCAATCAGAATCGTCTTACGGCAATACCCTTTAGCATTACCGTGAAACAAGTGTATGCATCAGCAATAAACTATGGGGGAAGGGTAGGGATTTTATGAAAACTCCAAGAGTTATGAGTACAGACATAGATACAGCTACTAAACAATCCGAGGACATTTAAATGCAAAAATTGGAAAAAGATGCAGTGGAAAACTGTCATGGCGTTAGCTGACCCTGCTGCAATGAAGTACCTAGTCAGAGATTCCTAAAATTTGCTGCGCTGTTAATCTCGATGCTGGCGAATGCCTGCTGCCCACATAAAAACAGAAGTGGAAGATGGTCTTAACACTAACAGCCCTGGTGGGAAATATCATAATCATAGATACTACGTATAGGTAAAAAGAAGTTTTCGAAGAGGGGGAGGAGTTTCCCTAGCTGAGGTAACAAGTGTTCATGAAGAAAAAATCAGAAACCCAACAGTCAAGTTCGAGCTAGAGAAACTGAATTACCCCTGGACACACCACAACATTTGTTCCACTGGTGATCCTAGAGAACCACGGCCAACTGATCTGGAAAAAGTGGCCACAACCCTTAACATAGTACTGTCTGACACAGCTGCCAAAGTCCCTGGTAGACTTTGTCACACAAAGAACCCTGGGTAACAGCTGAAATCTTAAACCAACGCGATGAGCAGAAAACTGAATAAGTGAAAGAATAGTCGTGATTAAGCAATGTGATATTAAGATGTTGACCGCAAAGCGTGGCATTAAATTGGCCAAGAAAGCCTGGAATCTAAACACTGTATGAAAACTAATAAAGCAGGAACGCTTATATTTTTATAAATGGACAAGGATCCGACAGCTACCAAGCAGGGAACGACTAGCTTCGTTAAAGTACCTAAGAGGAATATTCTTGACAGAAGATCAAGAGGTACGTATACGAACAGGATGAACTGAATGGTCCAGCGGTGTTTGACGGCCCTTCTGCAACTGAAGAGACTTTACCATATCATCCGAGAAGAATTTAGGCAGTAGTAAACTCGCTGTACGAAAGGAAAGGAAGAGAAAAACAGCTGAACCGGTCCTCACTGATAGAGAGAGTCTCACAAGTATTTGCAATAAGATCTTGCAGAATGAGGAGTTGCCAAATCCTTGGACTGAAGCTACCATAGTGTCCGTCAGAGTTAAGTGAAAAGTGAGGTCTAATTTTACCATAACTGAGCGATTTCTCACACGCTAATTGGTCGACAGCTATGTTCGATATAAGCAATAGAAAACGTTTTCTATGTTTCCATAGCCTGTTATAAACACGAGAGGGGCTGGGAGAATTCGAGACATTTTATGCAAATCCGAAACGAAGTCAAGGTTTTGCATAACTGTCGAGGATAAGTAAATAAGTTTTCTATTCCTTAAACATCAGTGACACACTCCCCTGCGGTTCGTGTGTCACGTCTTTATTTTTACCACATTTTGACGTCATCTGTGATCTATTACTGATCAGACGCACGGCAGCATGGAATCTATTTCTTAAACAGACCATGGAAACGAAATGATGGTGGTGTAGTTTGTTTTTCTTTTTCTCGCGTGCCCGTTGTTCTGAGAAACTTCAACTCATGCGTCTAGTGGCTTCACTTTAGCTTTCAACATTTTCACGTCATTTTTATTATAATCGATAAGATTACAAATCATGGAAAATTATTGTCGATTTGTTAATTGGATAAGATTACGCGGGATCGGACTCACTTACGCATATGCTTGAGTAACGATACATACCTTATTATATACTTACTGAGAAATACTCACCAAAAAGCTATGTCGTAAATGTTCGTACGCAAATTGGTTCTAGCCAATCAGAGGAGCGAACGATGGTTTTCACACGTGAAAAAAATGATACGCCCAATCAGAATCGCGAACGATGTTTTTTCACGTGTGAGAAAAATGATACGTCCAATCAGAAGCCACAGAGGTGTGTGAGTTTCGCGGCAAATTTCCCGCCTTTTATTGCAGCTTGCAGCGCCGCTTCGCACACATTCAACAAGTCGAGTTTTACTCAAAGAGTTTTTCTCGCTAAAAAAGTGCAAAACATTTCGGAAATGGAGTGGAATAGTTTTGTTTGTTTCACTGTCGAGAAAGAAAACGGTAGAGAGCCGGCGAAACAACAGCGGAAAGGGAAAAAAAGAACGAGACGTAAGCTTTTGTTGTGCTTTTTGTCGGAGCTACTTTGCCTTTGATTTAAACTTAAGCTTATATTGAAACCGGCCATTTTACTTAAATCCACTCATTTTCAATTGTGCATTGAGAACAAACAGTTAAGATTACTTATAGCTCTTGTATTACCTCATATCCTTACCGTCATTTATGTTTTTAACAAACGTTTTTACTAAAAAGATGATACTTTGTTTTCGTTGTCATTTTGCGGTAAGTGTGTGGCGGCAAATTTTAGCATTTTTGAAAGATTTAAAATAAAAAGACCGCCAAAATGATGAATGTCTCAGTATGTATATAATAAACACAATACCACATGGAAAGTGCTTTGTACGGTATTTACGCACTCGTTATTTTTGTATCAGAAATCTTACTCGTTCGCTGCGCTCACTCGTTCGATTTCTGATACGTCAACAACTCGTGCGTAAATACCGTACGCCAGCACTTTCCATGAAGTATTCTCTATATACGACACGCTACAAAAACGTTTTCCTTTGGCCTTTTAAACCGGCAACATTTTGTTGCAAAGAGTAGGACTACCCTCTACTTTCTGCAACTACTATTCGTAACCTGCAACAACCTGAACAAAGATCTGATTCGAAAGCTCAAGCGTGTCCAGAGGCGCGCTACAAGGTATATTCTGGACCCTCCATTTATTTGTGACCAAACATACAGGGACAGGAAATACAATAAATCAAAGGGGGTAAACATACACTGAAAAAATGTAGACAGAGACGGTAGCTTTAAATTTTGCAGTTGAGTCCATTGTTAAATAATCAGATGGCAGGCTATTCCAGTCAATGATAGTTCTCGGCCAGAAGCTGTATTTGTACGTGTCACGGGATGGCTGAAGTGGAATAAATTTCAATGTATGAGATGCCCTGGTTTTTAGGGAGGACTGATGATGTACATAGCAGGGGATATCAATAGAGTCCTTTATGTACATCAGTGTCAGTCTAGCTACTTGTCTTCGTTTTTCGAGAGTTGGCCAATTTAGTTGCTTTAGGGCCTTGGTTACGCATCCCTCCTTTTCCGTGTCCGTTCTTGTTACGAAGCCTGCTGCCCTGTGCTGGACCTGTTCGAGCCATGATGTGATATGCTCTGTACGGATCCCATACAGTACAACCATTACATTCCAACGTTGGTCTCACCAGCCATTTGTAGCCTTAAACTTTAACCTTTTGTGAGCGATGATGCAAGTTCCTCTTGAGAAAGCCAAGAGTCGAATTGGCTTTGTTTGTAATGTTCAGGATATGTAGCTTCCAGTTTAGGTCCTCTGACAGAGAAACTCCGAGGTAAGGATAGTGGTCTACAGCCCGGCTGTAGGGTATGGCTAAGCATAGTGCACGGGTGTATAAAAGGATACTTGGTTCTGCAAACGCGTAGAACGTAACACTTCGATGGTTTGAAGGCCATTTGCCACAACTTTGCCCGTTCAACTAATTTGTTCAGATCACATTTGATTGCATCGTCGGAATTGTGTACCAGACCATCAACAGGGTGTCTTCAGCAAATAACTTAATATAGGATGTAATATCATTACCTATGTCGTTAACGAATAACAAGAAGCACAAGGGACCCAACAATGTTCCTTGCAGGTCTCCTGATCTCACGCAAGACTTCTCACTACACTCGCTTTCAAGGACTACCTGTTGAGTTCTTCCAATTAGCCATACCTTTATCCAGGGTAAGACTAAACCACGAATGCCATAGTACTCTAATTTAAGTAACAGACGTTTGTGTGCTACTTTATCGAAGGCTTTAGAAAAGTCTAAGATCAAAAGATCAGTCTGCTGGTTCATATCATTTACTGACCGAGCCAGATGCTCTACGGCATTGATAAGATGTAGGGATCGTAACGTCGACGGTGAATACACTCGATTTTGAGAATGGTTTCCTTTTCTTTGAATGAAGAACAGAACATATGAACTTAGCGCGACACCATCCCTTGCGAATTGTCCCATTCAAATACTTTTGTGACTCTTATATTCTTAAGTGCAACGAGCGCACTTAATTTCGTTCGCTCCGTTAAGTGCTAACCTTCGCCGCGCCGATTCGCATAAATCCATTACTTTCTTTGTGAAAGTACCTCAGAAAAGTACAGGTAGTTATCTCTCGTTCCAGTTGGAGTTAAATCTTCTTTTTAGTGGCGCTCAGGCACACAACAACTCGATGCAAACCGAGGGTCGAAACCGTATCGATCGACTCAATCGCTAAGACGTGAGGT